CCTGAGTGCTGGGGTTACAGGTGTGAGCTACCATGGCTACCTATGATTTTTAACTATTTCAAAATGTTAATTCAAACAAATACTATTCACAGATAAGAGGAGAAAACCTATACGGTACAGATTAAAATGCTGTAAATTATACATGGCACATATATCATCACCTACTGCTCTCTACTGTACCCTGCAGATACTCAGCTCTGTCTACTATTGCATAAGATCATATACTCAATGCTGGGTGGTAGTCTGCAGTCTGCACTGTACAGCCAATTTTGACCATATGTGACTTTGTTTTTGGAGACAGGGTCTTGCTATGCAGTTTAGGCTGGCCTTAAACTCATGGCAATCCTCCTGCCTCAATCCCACCCAAGAGGTGGGATTGCAGGTGTGCGCCACAAAGCCCGGTGACTGTCTGTGACTCTGACTTTCTGCCTTGGAACCCATAATCTCTGCTCTGGATACCACTTCATCCCATGTCTGATTTGAGGGAGTTAAGACAAGTGCCTTTCCATGTGTAATGCTCATTTTAAGAACAAAAACACGGATAGTAAGATGTTGTTTGCATTTATTTACCTGTTTGACCCAGACAACCTTCGCTGTAACTGTCACCCCGGACCTGTCCATTTGATACTGCATTAATCCTGTATGAATAAAATAAAACCAAGAATTAGGGTCTCTAACACCAACAAGGAACTGCCCATGACATCGAAGTATCAGATATAATAAGCTAGAGTTCCCCAAATCCAGGTTAGGCCGCATGACTAATGCGTTTACATGACCTTAAGCAAATCCCTTCACCCAAGCACTTTCCTGAGCTGCAGTCGTGGGCCTGGCAGCATAGAAGCCCCTGAAAATTGTCTGAAAATGCTCCGGCCTCCCCTCAAACCTAGCCAGGTCAAACATCTGGACTCGGAGGCCAGAAATTCCAGTTCTACAGTCTTTTAGGTGATTCTGTTGCTTGTTAAAATTTAAGCATGAAATTCTCAAAATTTTATCTTGCTCAAGTTTTCCGTCTGCACATACCAGATGTCCTCAACCCAGCGCCATGTGCGGTAACGGCAGAGTGGCAACAGGCCTCAGCTGAATCAAATGATTAACACTGGCTATGCGATGATTCTTTAGAATAATTTTGTACTAATGTCCAGTGTTTGAAGCAATAATCATATTCTAGTAACTTTTAACCTGAGAAGATCAAAGAAAGACTCAGGTGGTAAAATTCTGCTTTTTCAAGCCTAGATACATGTTCTAAATAAAGGAAATATTTCGCTGACTTTCAGAGTGCCACTCTAAATGCTGTTTCCTTTTTTATTGTGGTACTGGGGATTGAACCCATCGTCTTCACACAGAGCTGAACCCTAGGACTTAACGTATTTATTTTATAAAAATACATATAATAAATTTCACGAGGGCAGGGCCATGTCTATCGTGTTTCACATTTCTATTCCTACTGCCCAGCACAAATCTAGCAAATAACAGGTGCTCAATAAATGTGCTGAATGTATGAGCCCTAGTTTTCACAAAAATTCAAAATCTTACATAGGCAAACCTAAGTTCTAGAATGATCAATATTGAGGGGGGAAAATTAAAAATTTTAAATAAAAGCCTGCCCAGGATGCCTGCCACGCCCAACTGGACATGTCCGGCAGGCCTGATAACAAAACACTCCTTCCTCTGTATAAACCCATCTTTACTGCCTTTGTGTAACTGATGGCCACGGGACACATCCTTTGTGTAACTCATGCTTGTTTAACTGATAGCCTTGCAATGTAACTTGAGATGTTTAAACTCCCTTAGCAACCCAAGATGTCACCCAACCCTCCAATCAAATGCGGCAAAGCTGCCTTTGTACCTCCCTGCTTGACCTCCCTATGAAAGTTCCAGGACCTCACCGGGCAGGGCTCTGACTCTTTGGGAGAGAGATCCTAGTAAGGCCCACCAGTGTAAATAAACTGCCTCTTTAACCTTCTTGGTGCCGTCTCTTCCTGTTTGGTCTGTTTTCTGTAACAATATACTCTGTTATTCTCAGGAAAACTGAACTACCACATGATTCAGCAATTCTACAACTGGGTATGTATCCAAAGGAAATGAAATGAATACATCAAAGAGCCACCTGCGCTTGTACTGTTTACTGCAGCACTATTCACAAAAGCCAGGATGTGAAATCAACCTAGAAGTGTAGCACATATACACAGTGGGAAGTTCTCTTGGCATAAAAAATGAAATTCTGTCATTTCCAGCAACATGGGTGGGGATGGAGAACATTATGTTAAACAAAATAAGTCAGACACAGAAAAAGAGGCGCTGCATGTTCTCACTAAAAAGTTCATCTCATAGACATGAAAAGTAGAGTAGCAGTTACCAGGGTCCAGGAAAGGTATGGGAAAAAGAATAAATACAGGATCATTAATGAGCAAAGGAATAAAGTTAGACAAAAAAAAAACAACTTTTTTCAGGGGGAGGGGTGGTGGTGGCATTTCTTGTTTGTTTGTTTTGTGGGTTTTTGTTTTTTTTTTTCTTTGAGATGGTGTTTCCCTGTGTAGTCCAGGCTGGCCTCAAACTCACAGCAATCCTCCTGCCTCAGCCTCCCAAGTGCTGGATTACAGGCTCGCACCACCGCCCCTGGCAGTGGTGGTGTTGAGAGAGGGTCGCACCACGTAGTCCAAGCTGGCCTCAAACTCACTGTGTAGCCTAGGCTGGTCTCAAACTCCCAGTGATTCTCCTGCTTCAGCCTCTCAACTAGGAAGAATTACTTCTAATGTTCTACCGATCAGGATAACTTTGAGTGACAACTATTAATTGCATATCTCAAGATTGCTAGTACAGAGAAAGTTAAATGATCACAAAGAAACGATAAATCTTTCAAGTGATGAGTATCTTTTCTGATCATTACACAATGTATACAGGTATTGAAATATGACACTGTACCTCATAAACATATATAGTTACTATACATCAATTAAAAAAAATTTAAAGACTCATAATTATTTGTGGTGATTAACTGATTGTCAACCTGAAGGGAAACACCCCGCTGAACTCAGTTAGCATGGAAAACCCAATTTAGGGTGGCTCGTTGTTAGAACAGTACAAAAGGAGAACGGGAGGGAAGGATTTCAGCTGTCCTCTTTGGAGGAGCTGCGGTCCTCGCCGTCACCCAGGATGGCCGCTGTTCTTAGAGGAGCTTCATCTCCCCTTCAGGCATCATCCCCTGGCTTTCAGCGGATTCTTCAGCTCCTAGCACCAGCCTTCCGGCCCGCTGGCGCACTTTTTTAGCTTCCAGCACCAACGCCTTGACCTCCCGGCACAGACCCTTCAGTTTTCCATCGTGGATCCTTTGGCCTCCAGATGCAGCTGTGTAGGGGACACTGCCGTGGGCTCCAGGCCTCTAGCTGGATCCCTTGGATCTCTAAGGAGTGGGCAGGTCTTTTGCATTCTTCTACATTTGACTCTGTGGGTGGCCATGTAGGCCAATCGCGTAAATTTGTGTCCTACATTGAATCTGACTCAGAGGCGGGGCGTGGTGGCACAGGCCTGTAGTCCCAGCACTCAAAGAGGCTGAGGTAGGAGGAGTGCAGTGAGTTGGAGGCCAGCCTGCGCTACATAGTGAGTCTCTATTTCACAAAACAAAACAATCTGATTCAGAGCATGTGCAGTCTTTTGAGGAGCCTTGCCCTAGCATGGCTAGCCCTAAACCCTTCTAAGCGTGAATACACTATTTCAATTTCATTCTCTCTATATGAACTAAACTAAACTGTGAAACAACCTTCATATTTTAAAAGTTGCAGATATTTTTGGTCAGTAATTCTCAATTCTTGTTCTCTTTTGCTGGGTGTAGTGGTTGATACATTGTGTCAACTTAAGAAGCTCAGAAGTTTAAGTGACTTAGCAGGGGGCCAGGTTCCTCAGTTATAAACATCCTCAGCCTGTGCAACAGGAGTGAACGGTGCCACACAGCCCTAGGGCAGGTAGCCTGCATACCATATAAAAGTGGAAAAGAGGCTTACTCTCCCTCCATTTCTCTCTTGCTGCTTTTGCTGTCTTCCACTGCCATTAAAAGATGCCCCTCTGCCGTGCCACCTTGCTTCAGAGCCAGCTGACTGTGGCCTGAAACCTCTACAAACTGTGAGCTAAATAAACCTCTCCTTCCTTAATTTTGGGTGTTGGGTATTTTCTCTCAGCAATGAGAGAAAAATAATTAAGACACTGGGCCATCTAATAAACTTCATGGATCTCTCTGGGTGCACCTGTCTCAATTAGGTACAGTTGAGAACACTATGTATTCTCTGGCATTGCTATTTATGTATTTTCAAATTCATGGAAAAATTGTAAGTAAAAACAAAAATTTTCCTGAAACATTCAAAATTTGTCAACACAATGACCCACAAACCCAGAAATTTGTATTTCCTACAGACTGTTTTCCTCCCGAACAATAAACCACTCAAAATTATATCCACTACCACTGCCTCACCCTCAGATCCTAAGTACCCAAGATGTCCTTACTACGCAGGGATCCTGTCCACAACCCTGAGGCACTCTGCTTTCCTGTCCTTTTAGTCTTCTTGAGTCTGAACAGTTCCTTGGTCTTCTTTGACCCGTATGACCTTGGCACCTTTGAAGCATTACCAATTATTTTTAGACTTCCCTTTGATTTAGGTTTGTTTAATGTATCTCTATGATTAAATTCGGGTTATGCTTTGTGGCAGAGACAGCACAGAAATAACAATGTTCTCAATACATCCAGCTGAGCAGCACAGGTTCTGACTATCTCATGGATGGTGATGCTCACTTCAACTGCTTGGTAAAGGTGGGAGCTAAGAGGCTTCTCCTCTTCAGTTTTCCACTAGTGTAATTAATATTTTGTGGGGGGCGTTTTGAGTACATCAATGTCCTATTCTTCCTTAAACTTTATTCTTTGTTTTGTTTTGTCTTTTTGAGACAGGGTCTCGCTATGCAGTTCAGGCTGGCCTTGAGCTCACTTTGTAGCCTAGGCTGGTCTTGAACTTGCAACAATCCTCCTGCTTCAGCCTCCTGAGTGCTAGGATTACAGGCATGTGCCACCACACCCAGCTCTTAACTCTATTCTTGTATTTATTTTATATCAGTAGAGACCCTAAAAGATTTTCTCCTTTATCCAAAGGGTCAAATTATCTAACTATAGCCAGACATGGCAGCACGCACC